TCAGCTTCCGAGTCGTAGATCCTCCCTGAAACGTCCTCATCTTAAGGTATACCAGGTCGCCAACCTGAAACTCTAAATCCTTACGCCGCTTATCTGCATAACTCTTCTGACGATCATGGGCTTCCTTAAGCCGTCTCTTGAGCATCTCAACTTGCTCTACCGTCTCTTGAACCATTGCTGGTTCTATCTCACGTCGCTCCCCCACTTCTGTCCAACAAAGCGCGGTACGACAAGGTCTACCATAAAGAGCCTCATACGGTGCCATCTGAATACTCGAATGATAACTGTTGTTATCAGCAAACTCCGCTAGGGGTAGGTACCTCAACCAACTACCTTTCCAATCCAAAACACAAGCTCGAAGCATATCCTCCAATGTCTGAATAGTCCTCTCTGACTGTCCATCTGTCTGTGGGTGGTAAGCGGTACTCATGTGGACCTTGGTCCCAAGCGCCTTCTGGAAGGCTCTCCAAAATGCAGACGTGAACTTTACATCCCGATCTGATACAATGCTGGCAGGCACTCCGTGCAGTCTAACAATCTCACTGATATACATCTCCGCCAACTGCTCAGCTCTGTCTGTCTTCTTAACTGCGAGGAAATGAGCTGACTTGGTGAGTCTATCCACGATTACCCATATAGCATTCTTTCCTCCTGTGGTGGTCGGTAAACCCGTCACAAAATCCATAGTCACCATGTCCCATTTCCACTCTGGCAATGGCAGGTTTTGCAATAACCCGCTAGGCACCTGATGCTCCGCCTTAACCATCTGACAAGTCTGGCACTGTGATACAAAAGTAGCAACGTCCCTCTTCATACCAGGCCAGTGGTAATAACGCTTCAAATCACGGTACATCTTAGTGTTTCCTGGGTGAATAGAAAAACTCGAGTGATGTGCTTGCTTCAAGATCTCCTTCCTCAACTGCTCATCATCTGGTACACAAACTCGGTTTCGGAACATAAACATCCCACTCGAAGCTGTATGATACCCAATACTCTCGATCTCAATCTGCTTACACAAGGCCTCATCAACATCCTGAGCTCTGCGTATCCTCCAAAGTAAATCTGCCCGCTCAACTGCCTCGAGGCCAGCTGCCTCGCAATCTACCGTAGTGGCACACAATCTGAGACTAGCAAGTATACCCGTAAACTCTTGAACCTCCTTGGTTCCTGAAACATCGCTCCTGCGTCTACTCAAAGCATCTGCCACCTGATTAGCTTTCCCTGGATGATAAGCGATATCCAAATTGTAATCTGCCAACAACTCAATCCATCTGCGCTGCCTTAAGTTCAAGTCCGTCTGAGTGAAGATGTACTTTAAACTCTTGTGATCCGTGAAAATTTTCACCTTCTCACCATACAAGTACGATCTCCAAATCTTCAACGCAAATACAANCCAAATTGTAATCTGCCAACAACTCAATCCATCTGCGCTGCCTTAAGTTCAAGTCCGTCTGAGTGAAGATGTACTTTAAACTCTTGTGATCCGTGAAAATTTTCACCTTCTCACCATACAAGTACGATCTCCAAATCTTCAACGCAAATACAACTGCTGCTAACTCCAAGTCGTGTGTAGGGTAATTAGCCTCGTGAGGCCTCAACTGACGTGATGCATAAGCAATGACTTGTTTCTCCTGCATCAACACACATCCCAATCCAGTACCCGACGCATCAGTGTAAACCTCATATGGTATCCCAGGCCTCGGAAGTACCAACACCGGCGTCTGTGTCAGTTGTCGCTTCAACTCCATGAAACTTTTGGAGCAATCATCTGTCCAATCAAACTTAACATCCTTGCCCGTTAGTCTCGTCATCGGTTTTGCAATGCTGGCAAAACCCTTAACAAAGTTCCTGTAGTACCCAGCCAAACCGAGAAAACTGCGAATCTCTGTAGCACTCTTAGGCGTCAGCCACTCTGAAATAGCAGCAATCTTCTCTGGATCTACTGCGACTCCTGCCTCTGAAACAACGTGACCAAGAAATCCAATCTTCCTCTGCCAGAAGCTGCACTTGCTCAACTTAGCAAACAACTGATGCTCTCTCAGCTTTCCCAATACAATCCGCAAATGCTCTGCATGCTCCTCTCTGCTCCGAGAATAAACCAAGATGTCGTCGATGAACACAATCACACACTTATCCAAATGCTCACGAAACACATCGTTCATCAGCTTCATGAATGCTGCTGGTGCGTTCGTCAATCCGAATGGCATCACAACAAACTCATAATGACCATAGCGCGTACGAAAAGCCGTCTTCTGCACATCTCCATCAGCTATTGCAATCTGATGGTAACCCGACGCCAAGTCAATCTTAGAGAACCATGAAGCTCCCTGCAACTGATCCAACAACTCATCAATACGCGGCAGCGGGTACTTGTTCTTGATAGTCACCTTGTTCAAACCCCTGTAGTCGATACAAAGTCTGAAACTCCCATCTTTCTTCTTCACAAATAATACCGGTGCTCCCCATGGTGAAGTACTCGGTCTGATGAAACCCTTATCTGATAGCTCTTCCAACTGCTTCTTCAACTCAGCCATCTCTGCTGGTGCTAACCGATAAGGAGCTCGTGAAACCGGTGCTGCTCCCGGTTCCACCTCGATAGTCAAAACATCACTTCTTGCTGGTGGTGGCCCTTTTAAGGCCTCAA